TTTGTTTGTGATTAGTTTTTGGTGGGTATGGGTGAGTATAAATGTGTTGCTACTGCCTCGGAATCTTATGACGAAGAGGGTGATTGGTGAGGGGCTTGCGTTGGGGGCCTCTACGTTCTTGACCTCTAGAAGGATGGAGTCTGCTGCGTGTTTTGGTGCTGTCTCGTTTTGGTGCCAGTTGTCCGTAGTATTAGTGGTGTTCAAGCTTCGTTTCAGGGGGAGTATCCAATCCCAAGCTAGTTCGGTCCGCTTTGTGTTCACCCGGAGTTGCGGTATTGGTGGCGTCCAAGCTTATTGTTAGAGAAATATGGTGTTAGTTGAGAGGATCTCTCTTAGCCTTAGTTTTAGGTATTTGAAATCTATGGCTAGGATTAGTTCTTGTCTAATATAAATAGTTCTATACTTCCTTGTACATTGAAACACAGAACATATAGAAATATATATACAAGTTAGTTCATTGTTTAACATGGTATCATAGCGAGATTGAGGTGACCGGGTAGTGGGTGTTGGTCGGAAAGAGGAGGCGATGCCGGCTGGAGAGGCGGAGCAGCCACCGGAGTCCTCACGCGCCGCCACGTGCCGGTGCAGTCCGAGGGTTCCGACGCCACGCGCCGGTGCAGTCCTAGGGTTCCGACGCCACGCGCCGGCGCGTGGGCAGTTCTCTGGCGTCTTCTCCAGTCGCGGCCGGTACCGCTGGGCTCGTCTCTGAACACCCAACGCGTCTGCAGTGGTGGTGTACTCCGGTGTTGCGAAGGGCTACTGCGTTTTGGACTGCTGCGTTTTCAGGTTGGTCTGTTTTGTTTATTATGGCTGAGGAGAGTGAGCAGAGGATGGAGGGCTGCGTTGAGTGGTTCAGTGAGGGGTTTGGGTTCATAACCCCCGATGACGGCAGCGAGGATTTGTTTGTTCACCAGTCTGGTGTCAGCCGAGAAAGAGAGACAACCGAGAGAGATGGTAGGGGAGGTCCACAAAGCTGGGTGGTCCGAGGTCCACGAAGTTGGGTGGTCCGAGGTCCACGAAGTTGGGTGGTCCGAGGTCCACGAAGCTAGGTGGTTCGAGGTCCATGAAGCTGGGTGGTCTGAGGTCCACGAAGCTGAGAAATAATTAGGCAGTAGTTTGCCGTAGTTTTCTTTTGTTTATCGTGTTCGTATTAATAAGTCTTGACCTTTGTATTTTGTTTATCATAGTTTGTCGCTCTAAATTAATTTGATATGGGAGCATTTCTAGGGTCTGAGTTGAGTCAAGTGCATCTTGTTCAGTGTGCGTAAACAGGGGTGCTGCAGGAGTGGGCAGCACAGGTGCCAGGAGTGGGGCGGATCTGGCATATGCCGCGGGGGAGGCCGACGGCTGAAGAATGATTCGGAGTGAATCAGTTTACGTGCATGCACCAGGGAAACGCTGTAGTGTTAGGCAGCATTGATAAGGGTGCATGGTGAGAGGGACAGGTGCATTGTGGTCTAGCAGCGCTAAGGGTTTGTGGAGTGAGAGGCAGGTACGCTGTGGTGTTAGGCAGCGATGATAAGGGTGTGGGGAGTGAGAGGCAGGTGCGGCGCTGTGGTGATTGGACTAGCTTTTGTTGGCTCCGTAGAAGCATTGTTGATGCGACAAGGTGCGTTGTGGACTGGTTTGGCACAACATGGTTCGAAGGTTGTTCGAGTGGTTCAAGACTTGGGCTTATGAGTCTAGGTGTGGAGTCCTATGGTTCATGTGATACATATGTAACAAGTTGGATGCTCCAACTTGAGGGGGAGTGTTAGAGAAATATGGTGTTAGTTGAGAGGATCTCTCTTAGCCTTAGTTTTAGGTATTTGAAATCTATGGCTAGGATTAGTTCTTGTCTAATATAAATAGTTCTATACTTCCTTGTACATTGAAACACAGAACATATAGAAATATATACAAGTTAGTTCATTGTTTAACACTTATGTTGCAAGGGGAGTGTCCAATCCCAAGCTTGTTCGATCCGCTTTGTGTTCACCCGTTGTTTGTGGTATTGGTAGCGTTCGAAGCTTTCATTGCAGGGGAGTATCCAATCTCAAGCTTGTTCGGTCACTTTTGTTGAAACACAAAAGTTGTGTCGGTAGAAATATAGCTGTTGAAGTTGTGTCGGGTTGTGTCTATTAGGATTGTGTCTCTTGGTCTGTATATATTTATCTATTGTCTCCTCATTGAGACAAGCAAGTAATAAAAACTTCTTCTACATCTTTCTCAACATGGTATCAAGAGCCAAAAGTCAAAATTTGAAATTTTTATTCCGGTGAACAGTACATATGCTACTGTTCATTAGAAACTAATTTTTCAAATTACTTGCTATTGGTGAGATATTTTATCAAATTAGTACTACAGCCGCCTTACCCATCCTCCGGCGACCATTACCCATTAATTCCGGTCGCAGGAATCTCCTCCACGCGCCACCGCGTCGCCGGCGCTCCGACACCACGCGCCGGCGCGTGAGGCCATCTCCGGCGGCCTTTTCCGGCGATATTCTCCAGATCGTATCGTCGGCTCTCTTCCTCTCCTTCCGTGCAATCAGATTTATTTTTGGTCACGATGTCTTCCGACGAAAATTCTGATAATTCGGGTACTATTTCTCCTGCCAATAATTTACCTACTTCTTCGAGCTCTGTTTATGTGCCTAATCTGTCTGGAAACCCGGTAATCACTTCTGAAAGATTATGTGGTTCTCAAAATTACCACTCTTGGTCGGATGCCGTAGAATTATGGTTTATGGGCCAAGGTGTTGTTGACCACTTGCAAAAAGAAGTGGATATGATACCGGAAAAAGAAAAGACAGTTTGGCAAAGGTTAGATGCTCAACTTTGTAGTCTCCTTTGGCAGTCTCTTTCTCCACAATTGTTGCCTTTATTCCGGCCCTTTAAGACATGTGTCGGGGTGTGGAGTCAAGCTCAATCTCTGTACACTAATGATGTCTCTCAATTCTATAATGTTGTTGACAATTTGGTTAACTTGAAGAAAGATGGTATTGATATGGAAACTTTTCTTGGCAAAGCCCAAAGTTTGATTGCTGAGTTTGGTACACTCATGCCTATTGGTGGTACACCCGCAGAGCAACTTACCCAACGAGAGAAATTCTTTGTCATACTTCTCTTAACCAAATTAGGTCCAGAATTTGAAAGCATCCAGAATCAAGTTCTTGGAAGCAACATTGTCCCGGGGACCACCGAGTTGTTCAAACGGCTCTTGCAGGTCACCTCCATTCCAGGTACTCACACATCCACTACCGAACAATCTGCTCTAGTCACACAAGGAGGTCGTGGACGAACTAACAATCGTGGTGGACAGAAAAACACTAGAGTGTGTGATTATTGTAATAGAACTGGGCACACACGAGATCAGTGTTGGAAACTTCATGGGAGACCGATACGTACGCAGGCAAGTGTTGCTCAATCTCAACCTGGGGAACCAAATTCTCGTACCATTTCCGCTGCTGAGTATGAAGAGTTTATTCGATTTAAAGCCACTCCCAAAGCTTCTGGGTTAACTCCTGCAGCCTACACTGATGGAACTCATACTGCCCTTGTATCACAATCTGGCCTGAGTGGACCATGGGTTATCGATTCAGGTGCCTCTGAGCATATCTCTGGTAACTCATCTTTATTTTCTCATTTCACCAAGTCTAAGTCCCTTCCATCTATTGTTTTCGGTAATGGGTCCAAGAGTACGGCTACTGCAATTGGAAAGGCTTCCCCCCTTCCTACTTTGCCTCTCTCTTCAATTCTTTATATACCTAACTGTCCTTTCAATTTAATTTCTGTTCATCAACTTACAAAATCTTTGGACTGTACGGTCACTTTTTCTTCTAATTCTGTCATTATGCAGGACCGTCGTTCGGGGAAGATGATTGGCTCGGGGTATGAATCAGAAGGACTTTATCGATTATCTACCCCAAACCCTTCTACAGTTTGCACTGCTACCATTCCTCCTTCCCTTGCCCATGACCGACTAGGACATCCTAGCCTTAAAAAATTACGGCGACTTGTCCCTAGTTTGTCTCACTTATCTACCCTAGAGTGTGAAGCCTGTCAGCTTGGCAAACATTCTAGAACATCGTTTCCTAATCGTGTTAATAAAAGAACTGCTTTCCCTTTTTCCTTAGTTCATACTGATGTTTGGGGACCTTTTCGTTATAATTCAATTCTTGGTTTTAAATATTTTGTTACCTTCACTGATGATTTTTCTCGTTGTACATGGGTCTTTTTAATGCAAAACCGTTCTGAAGTACTTAATGTTCTTCAAAAATTTGTTAATGAGATAAAAAATCAGTTTGGGGTGTCTATTAAAACTTTACGAAGTGATAATGCTGGAGAATACTTTACAACTCCTTTATCTAACTTTCTTGATTCAGCGGGCATCCTCCATGAGTCATCTTGTCCCGATACTCCACAACAAAATGGGGTATCTGAACGTAAAAATCGGCATCTCGTTGAAACTGCCCGCACCATGATTCTCCACTATAAAGTCCCTCCAGAATTCTGGGCAGATGCTATCCTTCATTCCTGTTATTTAATAAATCGTATGCCTTCATCTGTTTTACATGGTAAGATACCTTATAATATTTTATTTCCCGATAAGCCCCTTCATACTCTTCCTTTAAAAATTTTTGGGTGCACCTGTTTTGTCCGGGACACTACCCCAGGGCGTGATAAATTTTCTCCAAAATACTTAAAATGCATGTTTGTTGGGTACTCTAGGTTGCAAAAGGGTTTCAGATGTTATTCCCCTGATAAGCATCGATTTTATGTATCTTCTGATGTTACTTTCTTTGAATCAACACCTTTCTTTTCGTCTAGTTTACCGACCTCCATCTCTCATTTTCCTGATGTTCTTCCTGTTCCTACTTTTCAAGGAGGGACCGAGGTACATTTACCTCAAGATCCGTCATCACCTAGAAATCCTAGTCCCTCACCTACTGAACCTCCTTTACAAAACAACGGTGTTACCCCCTTTCCTTACACTTATCATCGCCGCTCTCGACCACCCGCGACCGTTCAAATCGATGAAATCCCAACTGATTCATCTCTCGAGCTATCTATGCCCTCGAACCCGGTTCCGGCAACAAGCTCTCCTATTGCAAGTCGTGTAGGTAACAGGTCATCACGAAATCCCTTTCCCATATACAACTTTATTTCATATGATCGTCTCTCACCTTCATATAATGCTTTTATCACATGTTTATCTTCTGTTTCTGCCCCTAAATCTGTTAAAGAAGCCCTTTCCCACCCTGGTTGGCGTCAGGCTATGGTTGATGAAATGGCTGCTCTTCATTCATCGGGAACTTGGGAGTTAGTTCCATTACCCGAAGGTAAAACAACTGTTGGTTGCCGATGGATCTATACTGTGAAAGTTGGGCCCAATGGACAGGTTGATAGACTTAAAGCTCGACTGGTAGCTAAAGGATATACACAGGTTTTTGGGATTGATTACACTGACACCTTTTCACCAGTAGCTAAAATTGCTTCGGTCAGAATCTTTCTTTCTATGGCTGCCGTTCATCATTGGCCCTTGCATCAGTTAGATATTAAAAATGCCTTTCTGCATGGAGATTTAGAGGAAGATGTCTACATGGAGCAACCTCCTGGGTTTGTTGCTCAGGGGGAGAGTAACTTGGTTTGTAAGCTCAAACGTTCTCTCTATGGTCTAAAACAATCTCCTCGTGCCTGGTTTGGACGGTTCAGCATAGTAGTACAAAATTTTGGTTTAAATCGAAGCAAAGTTGACTATTCCGTCTTTTATAGACATCAACATGGTAAGAGCATTTATCTTGTTGTATATGTTGATGATATTGTCATTACAGGAGATGATGTTGAAGGAATACAATTGTTGAAACAACATCTATTCCAACATTTTGAAACAAAAGATCTGGGGAAGTTAAAATACTTTTTGGGAATTGAAGTAGCACAATCCAAGCAAGGAATTTGCATATCACAAAGAAAGTATGCATTGGATATACTAGAAGACACAGGTATGATGAATTGCAAACCTCTTGACACTCCTATGGATCCAAATACCAAACTCCTACCAGACCAGGGGGAGCTTATCCAAGATCCGGGAAAATATAGACGATTGGTTGGAAGATTACTTTATTTAACTGTAACTCGACCTGATATCTCTTTTGCGGTAAGTGTTGTTAGTCAGTTCTTGGCATCTCCACGTGAAAGTCATTGGGAAGCTGCCATTCGGATTTTACGATATATTAAAAAATCTCCAGGCACTGGTTTGTTATGCAAAGACCATGGAAACCTTGAAATTATTGGGTACACAGATGCAGATTGGGCAGGTGCATGGGATAGAAAATCAACATCTGGATATTGTATCTTTCTTGGTGGCAACTTAATCTCTTGGAAAAGTAAAAAGCAAAATGTTGTTGCTCGATCAAGTGTAGAAGCCGAATATTGATCTATGGCCGTTGGAACATGTGAACTTGTGTGGTTGAAAAACCTCCTTACCGAACTGCAGATTTGTACAAAGGAGTCCATGAAGCTCATTTGTGATAACCAAGCAGCTTTGCATATTGCATCAAATCCAGTTTTTCATGAAAGGACGAAACACATTGAAATTGATTGCCATTTTGTTCGAGACAAAGTTACTTCTGGAGATATTACTACATCTTTTATAGGCTCAAATAATCAATTAGCTGATATATTTACTAAAGCTTTAAGAAGTCATAGGATTGAATACATTTGTAACAAGCTTGGTGCATATGATATACATGCTCCAGCTTGAGGGGGAGTGTTGAAACACAAAAGTTGTGTCTGTAGAAATATAGCTGTTGAAGTTGTGTAGGGTTGTGTCTATTAGGATTGTGTCTCTTAGTCTGTATATATTTATCTATTGTCTCCTCATTGAGACAAGCAAGTAATAAAAACTTCTTCTACATCTTTCTCAACAACTTTGTGTTCACCCGTTGTTCGTGGGATTGGTGGCGTTCAAAGCTTTCGTTGCAATGGGAGTGTCCAATCTCAAGCTGGTTCAGTCACTTTTTGTTCACCCGTTGTTCGTGGGATTGGTGGCGTTCAGCTTTCGTTTCAAGGGAATATCCTGAATGGATTTAGTTATTTGTTATTTAGTTATTTTGGGTTATCACTTATTTGTGTAACAAGTTGGGCATGATTAAAATTTATGCTCCAACTTGAGGGGGAGTGTTATGGAATAAAGATATAGTATTTGGAATCTCTATAGATTAGGCAGTCTTAGGAATTTAGGTAGGTAAGACATATGGAAACTTGTTTCCTTTTCGTAGTCTTCTAGCTCCTATTTATAGGGCTTTGTATTCTCTTTTTTTATAAGAGAGTTTGAGATAATATACGACAGCATATTTAGAAATCCTCTCTTTACTTTCGTAACAGAATGTTTAGGGTGAGCACTAAGATGTGTGGAAAAACTCTTAAGTTTCAAGTGTAGTTTAAGTCAAAGTTTCAAAGTTCATCCAAAGTTCAAGTTTCACATTTCAAATTTCAAAGTTTAAGTTCTAAGTCCTTCAAAGCTCAAGGTTCAAGTTAAAAGTCAAGTAATGTAAAGTCACAAGTCTAATGGGAATTGAGGGATCTTTGTGTCAAGTTTGGAGCCTATGAAGCTCCAGCTTGAGGGGGGTGTTAAAACTATTAAGAATCCCACATTAAAAAATAAGAGAGAAACAATATGGGTTTGTAAGGCTATCAGGTTAGACTAGCTAGTTGATTGGATTCAATCTTTTAGTGCGGTTTGACCCATGTGCATTACAACCTAGTTGGTTGACCTTGGCCCAACCATAGATTCTAATATGATACCGGAGCTTGTTCGGTACACTTTGTGTTCACCTAGTTGTCTGTCAATGGTATTAGTGGCGTCCAAGCTTCAATTTAAGGGGGAAGGTCCAATCCAAGCTTGTTCGGTCCACTTTGAGTTCACCTGCTTGTCTGTGGTATTGTTGGCGTCCAAAGCTTTAATTTCAAGGGAGGGTCCAATCCAATTGCAAGTAGTCAACTGGTTAGATTCAAAATGACCCGGTTGTCTACTTAAGGGAGTTATAAGAGTCCCACATTGAAAAATAAGAGAGAAACATATGAGTTTATAAGGCCATGGGTTAGAGTAGGACAGTAGGTAGTTGATCGGATTCAATCTTTTAGTTTGGCTTGGGCCCATGTGCATTACAGCCCAGTTGAGTGACTTCAGTCCAACGTTAGATTCTAGCAAGTTTATACATGTGCCTTTTGGTTTTATGCATGTGTTTAATGTGTGTCCTTTGATATTTCCTAAGTGTGTGAACTGGTTGATATAATCTGTTAGTGATATAATCTAGGTTAGCCTATGGGTATATATGTGTGTACTCTTGTGTTATCAAGTGTAATTTTCTAGCTATGGCTTAAATAAAATCTTCCCAGTTATTCAACAGTGCCAATATGGTGCACACAAATAATTTCTGTATGGAATATCAATGGTTCATAAGAAATGTTGTAATGCACATATTAGAATGAAGATGAATGTGAAATAATCTCTTCAAAACGTTAGAGTTAACCTGTAGGGTTCACTGAGATGCCCTCATTTCTCTCACAGTATTCTTTTAAATTGAGGGATCATGATACATGCAATCTATTCATCTTGGTGATGATGAATAAAAAGGAAAACACTTATATGGGTGGTATGGTGTAGGTAGATCTAAATATGTTTTATTCTGTAATTGTTATGTAGAAATGAAATTTCCTACATTCTGTAAGTTTTTGATACACAACCTTACCCAATAAAAAAACCAGATGGAAACGTGAATTATTCTTTTTTCATTTTGGTCTCATAAATAGACTAACTAGTGGTCTTTACATATTTTCTTGATCACTAATTTTATTTAAAATTTAAATTTTTAGTAAGTTAGGATTTTATGAAAAGAGACTTGCTGACAGACTGACAGTGACCCTTCTCTAAAGCTTCAACTCGGGAGTTCATACGTGTCATAACTGGTGGCAGGTTGGACCAACTTGTTGGAGTAAAGAGCAGATGAAAAAAGAAGCAATGCAGAATTGATAGGATTAAAATGAATAGAGACAAACAAGGATACTGTAAAGTATCCTCCAGCAAGAATGGATCCTTGCCCAGCTACAATAGCTATTATTTTCTAATGGATATTTGATGCCTTCAACACTAGGGGAGGCTCCTTATTTATAATCCAATATAATGTAGAAATTAAGTAAATAGCATAAAATGTGTAATTTGTCTTTTCCTGATTTTATATTTCAATCCCATGAGTTATGCTCGCTCCATTTGTGACCTGCAAATCTGATGCTTGATTGATTGGTTAGTTTCCATTTTCATTTGTGTCTTGATTTAGTAACTTATCACTAAGACACTTAGAATGGGAGGGAGGATATAGAATTATTGAGCATATTTGGCTCTTAGTAGTTATTGTTATCACTTCAATATTATTGGTTAATATTAAATATATATATCCCTTGCTTTTAATGTTAATGTGTATAATCTGAACTGGTATGGTATTACCATGTAAATGTATCTGTTTTTGTTGCTAGGTTTTATGATGTTGACAGTAACGATCTCTTTTATTTCTTATACTTTCAATTTCTGTTGCTAGCTTGACAGAGATCCAGAATGCACGTGCTATTATGCATGTCCTAGCAGAAATGCTTAATGCAATAGATCCTGAAAACAAAGAGGTATTATCCCTAATTCCCTATTAACATTATTGTACTTGAATGAGTCTTTGGTTCAGCAGCACTAGCACTGGTTCAATAAGGTCTACTATTTAAACCTGATTTGATACAGATATTAATATTGTTGAGTTATTGTCGTGAGAGTTGACCATATACTATAAAACCCTTTGTTGGGAGCTGAGCATCTTTTCTTGAACTTATTTAATTTAAGAGCTCTTGTTCTTAAATATTTTTTATGTTCAAAGTTTCTCCCTATTTATGCTGTTTGAGCATCTTCGCATTTGGATTGACAGGCTCTCAAGCAAGATGTTATTGTTGATTTGGTGGACCAATGCAATACATACAAGAAAAGGGTGGTACACCTTGTAAACTCAACTGCGTAAGGCCCTGTCTACTTCAACTACTGTTTACAAATTGCATTCTTTTTCTTTATCTTTGGAATTGTTGCTAAAATTTTTAATTCATGTTCTTTGTTTTTGTTCTCCTTTTAACATGGAAACAAGAATGTCTCATCAAAGCACAGTGATATGTGATGTTTACCAAGAGCTTTATGCCTTTTGTGATATTAGCAAAGATGGAATTTAGCATTTACTTGCCTCTCAAGTGGTTTAGATTTTAGATTTGTTTTTCATGTTTTGCATCACTATAAGGAGAGCAGTGGGGTCGTTTGGTTCACGGAATGTCAGATTACCTTAGGGAATGTTAGATTGCTGGGAATGTTAGATTACTGGAAATGTTAGATTCCTGTGTTTGGTTAAAATTGGGGTATGTAATATAATCATGTTTGGTTTAGGGTTATCTTTTATACACACTATAATATCCTTAAGATAACCAAGGTTATCTTACATTACCTAAGATTTTGAAGGGAATCACATTCCCTTCAAAATCCTATGTGGAGGGAATGTGACATTCCTTGGGAATGTTAGATTCCCTAAGACAATATGAACCAAACACCGGAATGTGAGCTTTGGAATGTCACATTCCCTTGGTTTTGTTATATAACCTGAACCAAACGCCCCCTTAATAAACATAAAATTCACACTTCAAGCATGGTAAAGCATCTCCATAAAAATCAAATGACAGGTAAACCTGCAATTTAGATGCACTTGTGAGGGTTTTGGGTAAAAGAACTCAAATTGGTATGTATTCTTTTGCTTTTATTATTCTAAAAATTTGTAAATATATTTTAATGACTCTTTACCCATCATACCTCAGGAAAAATTTCCCTTTATAAGAAGTTGAGACTCACTACTGTGGTTGTTCATATTTATACGAACTTCTCAGAAAAATAAATTTTAGCTAGCTCCACATCGTTTTCCTTTGCTGAACATGGCAAATTTATTCCTTTTTTGTTGTTGTTGTTCAAATGTTCCTTTAAGTGCTAATTCCCAAGTATAATCTGCGTTTACATGATGCAGGGATGAATCACTACTAAGCCAAGGACTAACATTGAATGATGACTTGCAACGTGTCCTTGCCAAACATGAAGCAATTTCTTCCAGGGCTTCATCTGTTCAAGCACAGAAACCAAAATTTGAAGCTGCTCAAATGATTCAATATGTTGATACTCCTCTTGTTAACAAAGGAGACAGCAAGCAGACAGATAAAGGGTACATAAAGTTTGTTTTGCCTTTGCCTTATAGGTTGGATAATTATTGGATTTGCCTTATTTTTGGCAAACAGAATGTCTTGCATTATGATTCGAATATTGACTTACACTTTTATGCACTTCTATGTTGTTGTTATTATTTATTATTATTATTATTATTATTATTATTATTATTATTATTATTATTATTATTATTATTATTATTACTTTTTAATTTTCTCTCTAGTTTTTTTGCAATAATGTGGATTTTCTGTTCATTGCTTCTAAGATATAAATGATCTTTCTTTATTTATTTTTAACATTTATTTCTTTCACAGTTCTGCATCAGGCACTAATTCGGGGACTCAGTTACCACTGCCTGCTCCTCTATCAGCTAAAAATGACCAATCAACAACAACAAAAACTGGTCCTAAGATAGATCTTTTGAGTGGAGATGACTTGAGTTCATTGCCAGCAGAGAATTCACTAGCAATTGTTCCAGTTGGAGAACCTCAGCCTGCAAGCCCGGCTTTTAAGCAGAATGGCCTTGCTCTTATTGACATGTCTTCACCAACCAGTAATCCTCAGTCTACATATCCAGGGTGCCAAAAATACCCTTTGCCTCAACAATTTCCACTGCAGCAGAATCGTCAGTCCCCAGAATCATCTTTATACCCTAATAGAAATGCTTCTGGAACAATGTCACCCCAATACGAACAGTCTCCATACCCTCAAGGCTCTAATGCCTTATACCCTAATAGAAATGCTTCTGGAACAATGTCACCCCAATACGAACAGTCTCCATACTCTCAAGGCTCTAATGCCTTATACCCTAATAGAAATGCTTCTGGAACAATGTCACCCCAATACGAACAGTCTCCATACTCTCAAGGCTCTAATGCCTTATACCCTAATAGAAATGCTTCTGGAACAATGTCACCCCAATACGAACAGTCTCCATACTCTCAAGGCTCTAATGCCTTATACCCTAATAGAAATGCTTCTGGAACAATGTCACCCCAATACGAACAGTCTCCATACCCTCAAGGCTCTAATGCCTTATACCCTAATAGAAATGCTTCTGGAACAATGTCACCCCAATACGAACAGTCTCCATACCCTCAAGGCTCTAATGCCTTATACCCTAATAGAAATGCTTCTGGAACAATGTCACCCCAATACGAACGGTCTCCATACCCTCAAGGCTCTAATGCCCTTTGGAATGGCCATATAACTCAGCAAGAGCAGCCAGCTTCTCCAGCTTATGGTGGACTTCTGATTTTTTATTTTTAATCCTTTATTTATTTATTTTTTAATTTCCCAAGTTTTGAGAACAGTTACTTGAATCTCTTGGCAGGTTCTCAAGACAATGGTGCATTTCCAGCTCCTCCTTGGGAAGCTGAGACAATAGATAGCAACTCAATGTGCGGTAGTCCATGTATGTTTCAAAACAATCAGGTTTTGGGAGGCAGTCCGAATTCTCTATCGATGCAAAGTAATCAGTTCAGTGGTAGTCCACATGCTTTACAAATGCAAAATAATCAGCTGGGTGGTAGTCCACATGCTCTACAGATGCAAAATAATCAGCTGGGAGTTAGTCCGCATGCAGTATTAGTGCTGACAAATAGCCAGCGGGGAGGTAGTCCTCACACACTACCAGTGCAAAATAATCTGCTGGGAGGTAATCCTCATGCTCTAACAATGCAAAATAATCAGCTGGTTGCAATGAACCATCCGCAATTTCCTGGTGCTGTATTTGCTAACGGTTCCCAGCTGTTAGGCAATGAGCAAGTTGGTGGTATATATGGTCCCGGTGGCAATTTTACTGTTAACCAGGCAATACAAAACAGCCAGTTGGTAGGATTGAATCCACAACATCATCAATCAATGGGTTTGTTTTCCCAACAAATGCCATCTCCACAGATGGTGTACATGTATTCCCAAACATATACCAATCAACTATCTGGGTATGGATGTGGTTTGGGGCAGCAACAAAATCCTCAGCTCCTTGACCAAAGAATGTCTGGGCTAAATATTCAAGATGATGGTATCCTAAAAGGCCCTCCGTATCTGGCTTCCACGCCCTCCTCATATGTGCATGTGCCTGTGCCAATGGGGAAGTCCACAAAGCCAGAAGACAAACTTTTTGGCGACCTTGTTGACGTTTCCAAATTTAAATCATCAAAACCAGGTCCTGCCAGAGCTGGGAGCATCTGCCCTTGACCATTTTGGCCAAGCTTCCATTTTTCCAAAAGTTTTGTATGCTCCTCTCATCTGTGTTCTTCTTATTCAGTCCTTAGGTGGAAATAATGTAGTATGTGAAGAGTGGATGGATCCTCTCCTCTCTCTTGATTATAGTATATTCAATTGGAAGTTGAGTTTTTGCTCTTTTTTGTTTTTTGAAACACTCATTGTTAGTTCTTTACAAGGTAATATCTGTTTTATACTTTCTCAATATTTTTTAACCCAAAAATCAATGCCCCACCACCAGAATCAGATCCTGTGACCACCTATTTAGAATGGTAACAAAGGTGCCATCTCACTACATAGTAGTTGGACATCTGCTTTTGATTATAGAAGATGGAAAAAGATTGGGACATTATTACCATATGTATTTTTACCCCATTGACTGTATGTATTATCTAAACAAATTCTTAATTAGGCACATTTTGTGTCAACTGAAAAATACTTCATCTGCATATCACTCATTCAGTACTCATACTGTACTGTCTGTAAAAATAATTGAACTCCAAACTTATATGAAAACAGCGAAATCATTCCATAAACAAATTAAATCCAGTCACATTGTATTTGGTTCAGCTTCATGATCAGCTGATGAGATTATTTAGTCCTGCCCAAAAAAAGGTTCAAGCAGCTGGGCTATAAAAACACCAATATATAAAAACAGCACTACAGGTGCATGCATAACTGCATTATATTATTCATTCCTCAGCTCCTCCATCATATCACTTAGAATCCTTTTTATTACCTTGACTACTAGAAGCTTGATTTTTGTGTTGAATCCCCCCACAGGTACCACAAGTAGTAGTGTTGTTTGCATCAGTAGTCATGTGTGGTGGTCTGCTTGTTCCAAGTTGCAACATCAGGCTTGTTGATTGCTGTTGTTGAGGCTTCCAAGACGACAATGGAGCTGTACGTGAAACCAAAAACTATATATATTATTATTCCATTTTTAGTGAATTATGTTACTATGTTGAAAGTTTGATTTTTGAATGGGCATGATTTAATTGTGTTTGTGAGAATTGAAGCTGCAGGTAGGTCTTAATCTAATCAATGCAAGCTAGTTTGAAAGAATCGAAGTAGTTTGCTATTGGAAGTTGGGACTTACCAGCAAATAATGAAGTCACAGGTGGTTGCAGTGTTGAGCTTTCACCAAGATTAGAAATAATCCCAGTTGGGAACTCCCTGTAATGCTGATGAGGGTGAAAGGTGAGATTGAAACCCACAGCAGATGGCGGCTGGGGGATGCTGAAAAATTTAGGTGTGGGTAAAATAAATTCACTCCCACGAGGATCCCGATTATTGATGCCTGCAGTCATATAAGGGCTTGGTGATCCTGCAGGGAGCCCAGTGGGTGTGTTGATGTGGCTTGATGATCCAGTGTGAATTGGGAACCCGGTGGCGGTGGCAATGTTTCTTCTGGGTTGATTAGGTTGAAAATTAGTTCTTGGAGCTGATGACTGGTTTCCATATGAAGCATAGACCCCCTGAATATCTGGTTTTCGGGTTCGAGTCATGAGTTCCAATCTTAGCATTTTTATGTCCTCATCCGACTCTGTATCATCATCAGAAAAATCCTGTAGCTAGCATGCATATATAAATTAAATTAAAGCATATGAATCACGTCAGTAAATGCATTAATTAAGAAAAAGAACAGATAGAAGAATTGAAGAAGGTAGGTGGTACCGCATTGTTATTCAGAATAGGGGCTTTCCCTAATCTGATGATTGGAGTTGCAGAAGGATTGTTATGCAAAGTAGGGGCTTCGCCTAATCTGATGATTGGAGTTGAGGAGTCATCATGTGATCTTATTCTTAATGATTGATGAGCAGCATTTACATTTGCTTCTGTAATAACAATGCCCTTATTACTCCGAGGAGGAGGAGGAGGAACTGCATGGACATTATTATCATCTGTGTAGAATTTGTTCACACCAGTACTACTCCCAACATTTTGTGCAGCATCAGTGCAATGTGGTAATATAGTAAGTGCAGCTGCTTCACCATATTTGTCTAGGTTGGTTGCCATTCTGAAAGGGCTTGTGTTAGTTTCCCTTGGAATTCTACCACTACTACGTTCAATTGTCTTTCCATTCCTAAGTTTCATGATTTCATTCCCTGCAGTGACGACGGTGTTGTTGTTTTTGTTGTTGTTGTGTGCAGATAAACTCTTCCTAGGCCTACCCCTACGCCGAGGCATGTTCAAAGGCGGCGTGCAGGTTTCGTCGTTTTGTAATTGTGCACAAGGATTAGTAACAGCAACAATAGCAGTAGCAGTAGCAGCAACAGCAATACCATCCAAGTTTGCGTTGGCAAGCTGGCTTTTCTCACAAGATACAACTCCGTTATTTTCATGGCTGCAGCTTGTACCAATATTCCTGCCCGTCTCATCACCATTAATATTTGCAGCAATAGTAGTAGTAGTCGTCGTAATGGTGGTTTGTTGATTATTGGCTTCTCCGCTTCTCCTAAATGACTCCTCCTCCTTCTGCTCCCCGCACTCTTTACAGCCCCACCACCTATATTTCGGAACCACCTTAAGCCCAGCACGGAATAATTCCAGCCCTCCTGCTGCTCTTCTACTACTACTACTACTAGTAGTGTAGTCTTCCCACTTTTTCCTCCTCATCTTATTAGCATATTTCCTGCATATACCAGGTTAAATTGAAAGTTTAGGACGACAGTGTCACTATACTGGAAGGACCCAACTACTATTAACTCTAATAATATATATATGGATGAAAGGCTTACCGAATAGAAAAAGCATGACAACTACACTTATGTTTTTCAGCCGCCATTTTGTAATCCTGTTAAACTTTTCCGGTCTTGTGATGACTGCATAGACAATGAGTATGATGAGTCATTGAGTGTTTATGCATATTATTATTAGAGCACAAAAATCTAAAGTAATAACACAGACCAAGTATTACTTTATAGTAAAAATGATTTTATTTTACATTTGAAAATTTTTAAGTGTGACACGCAGGTATATAATGTAAAGTATATATATTAGTTTCGATTTTAAAAAAATTAAATGGCATGAAGTGTATAATTTAATTTTGGAGAAACCTAGGGATTCCATCACCAACATATAACAAATGATAGAATGTTCCAATAAATAGCAGAAATAAAAATAAAGGTTTTTCCCTAAAATCATATAACACGCACGCCTAGTGCTCTAGACATGCACGTGTTGTGTTAACCTCAGTTCCTTACTATTATTTTCACTTATTTCCTATTTCCTCTATGATCATTTCCAAAATCAATCATAGAAAATCCAAAGATTTTATTCCTACACAACTTTAATTTAAAATGTTAGATTTAGAAATGTATGTATACATTTTATTATTGTTTTGTTAAGATTTAGAGATCATTTATCTTTTCATTTGAATCTTAAATCATGTGTTTGTGAGAAATAGAGAAAAATTAACAAATTTACAATAACTATTACATTTAAGCAGTCAACAAATATAATGAAAATTAAAGAGAAAGACTCATGCAAGTGTTTTATGTATCGATAGATTCAATGATCAGAGAAACAAATATAGAAAAAAGAAATAATCTTACAACGTCTCACATAAATGGCGATGATATTCTTCTAAGGTTTAGATCGATGTCTCAAACTCTACTGTTTATACCACAATTTTGTCTTCAATGGCGGCCTAGGGTTTAGATCGACATCTCAAACTCTACTTTTTATACAACCCTTTCGTTCTTCGATGGCGGCTGCTCCTGTCCTTCAATGTATCATTTTTAGGGTTTCTCTAAATTTTATCCAATACTAACGATTAAATATATGTGTATGAAAATTCTAAATAATCGTGAAATCAATTTATATTTAAGTGCGTAGTAGTACGTCAGCTAAGTTAATTTTGTAATGGGATAAGGGTCAAATACGCCTTTCAACTATAGACCAAAAATGCAATTAAGCACCTAAAATCATAATTTAGCCAATAACTTTAAACTTGTGCAATTAGATCAATTCAGCACACATATGAATATACATATACATATACAAATTTATATGGGCAAGATCATATCAGAACTACCATCGATCTTGTGAGAACAGCGAACTACACAATCAGTTATCAACGAGTACACAATCAGGTATAACAAGATGCACAATCATAATTACAAAATTGCATAATCAAGCAAAAGCACAATATAGGTAATTCGCAGTTTTCACAGGAGGAGTAGTTTTCATTTGATTACAATCCTCTGTACAAAAACAAAAATAAAGGTTTTCCCCTAAAATCATATAACATGCACACCTAGTGCTCTAGACATGCACGTGGTGTGTTAACCTCCGATCCGTTCGTTATTATTATTTTCACTTATTTCTTATATAAGGTTTAAATCGATGTCTCAAACTCTACTCTTTATATCACCATTTTGTTATTCAATGGCGACCTAGGGTTTAGATCGACATCTCAAACTCTACTTTTTATACAATATTCCTACCGTTCTTCGATGGCGGCTTCTCCTCCTGTCCTTCTATGTATCCTTTTTAGGGTTTCTCTAAATTTTATCTAATACTAACGATTAAATATGTGTATGGAAATTCTAAATAATCGTAAAATCAATTTATATTTAAGTGCATAGTGGTACGTCAGCTAAGTTAATTTTTTTAATTGGATAAGAGTCAAATACGTCTTTTAGCTAAGTTAATTTTTTAAATGTAGTTACGTAAGATAATGACACGTCATAAACTCTAAAATAAATTCCTAAATGCAATGCACTTTTGTATTTTTACAAGTGAAATTTTTGAATACTACACGTGCACTTTGTTAATACTAATTGTGCACTTTATTAATACTAATTGTACACTTTGTAACAACTAATTCACAATTTTCACAGGAGGGAATGAGGGATAGTTCTCATTTGATTCCAATCATATATATATATATATATATATATATATATATATATATATATATATATATATATATATATATATATATATATTAGTTTCGATTTTAGAAAAATTAAATGGCATGAAATGTATAATTTAATTTTAGAGAAACCTAGATTCCATCACCAACATATAACCAATGATGTTCCAATAATTAGCAGGAAAAAAAAATAAATGTTTTCCCCTAAAATCATATAACATGCACGCCTAGTGATCTAGACATGCACGTCGTGGCCGGTGTATTAACCTCAATTTGTTATTATTATTTTCACTTATTTCCTATTTCCTCAATGATCATTTCCAAAATCAATCATAGAAAATCTAAAGATTTCATTCCTACACAACTTTCATTTAAAATGTTAGATTTAGAAATGTAGTATGTATACATTTTATTATTGTTTTGTTA